TATATTTATTCAATGACAATTTTTTTATTAATGTGGACTGTTTTTAAACTCATCATTCTTAATTCAGTGAGCATGTTTTAAGTTAAATGAAATATTTCTCCAAGTTGCTGAAGAGCCAACTACTTCATTTAATGAATGAGCTCCTAAGAACTCCCTGAAAGAACTTTTTCATGATGAGGAAACAGTATTTGACAGCATATAATTTTTTAGTCAGTAAATTGAAAACCAAATTCAAGTTGATGGTTTTAAAGTATAAAATATTCCTTTGAAAATAGGAATTGATTCCAAAAATCTGAGTTTAATAAAGCTGTTGCATAGCAGAGCTACATTTAAAATTTCATATTCTTGATTTTGTTTTAAGAAGACTACAGAATTCTGTGGAGACCGGTTCCTGATCACTGGCTGAGTGCGGTGCGGGCGCAACAGCGAGGGTTGCTATCCCGTTACCGGTCAGTAAAAAAGACAAAAAGGAAATAAAAAAAAAAGGAGACTACAGAATTCTAAATGTAATAATCCTATGACTTAAATTGTTAGGCTTTGAAAGTACTTTGTTATACAAATCCTTATTGAAAAGCCAGTGATTTGAAAAGTAAGATTTGACATTTACGTTGAAAAGGTAGATTGGAAGAAATAAATGAATCACCACATAAGCTTCAATTTCTGATGGGTTTTCAAAGTAGGTAATTTATTTCCATTCACTGAACATAAATGAAAATCAAAATGTAACAACTCAGGAAAAATAATAAGGATTTTTTTTTTTCCTTTGACCTTCAATGTGTTTTGAGCTCCTACCTGAGTTATTTTCCTATAATTTTTGTGTTTTCAACTCTTGGCAGACTACCATTACCACAAACCAAGAGTTTTTCTTTTCTTTTCTTTTTTTTTTCCTTTTTGTCTTTTTTCATGACCGGTAACGGGATCGCAACCCTCAGTGTCGCGCCCGTACCGCGACCGGCAACGGGATCACAACCCTCGGCGTCGTGCCCGCACCGCGCTCAACCAGTGAGCGGACCGGTCTCCATATGGGATCCGAACCCTCGGTGGGAGTGCCGCCGAGCTCCCAAGCGCCGCACTCTACTGAGTGTGCCACTGGGCTGGCCCAAACCAAGAGTTTTTCTAAAATTAAATTTCTAAGTTAAATTTGTAAACTATAAAACTGTTACTTTGTAATTTTATTTTTTTAATTATGAGGGATCTTCAAAAAGTTCATGAAAAGATTCATATTATCTTTTAATTCTGTTTTTCTGTGAACTTTTTGAAGTAGGCTCATATTTACTGAATTTTATTTTATATGTGGAATTCTATTTCTAACAGTAAGCGAGCTAGCAAGTATTGCTAGATTAAGGAATTGAACTAGTACCCCTGTTATAAGCTAGTCATGTTAGTACATTCCAAAGGACAGGAGATATCTGTTAAGCATTTAAGAAGACCCACAGCGTGAGTGAGTATCTCAGTAATGAACTGAGTCATATGTGGTCTTTTTATGCAACCTGCTGTCCACAGAATACTGGCAGGTGATGGGCATCAATTAAAAATTAAATAGCATAAACAAAAGTAAAAATGTTATTCTTTGTAGGCATATTCCATCTTTAGAACCCTGTAGTTAATTGCATAGATATGTAATTACATGCATGTATTTACATATATGCATGTAATTATATAATGTATATAATTATACATGTACATGTATGTGCACATATGTATAACACATATATTATTACTTATACATATATTTATTTATTTCAGTATTTGTCAAATCTGTTGCATTTGACATTTTACTAGCTGACCATGCCTTCCTTTTTGAATATTTCTTCATTTTTGTGATGCTTTGGCAACATTCTAAAATCTTTATCAGTTTGTTTTTTTTAAATTTCTCTCCATTTCCCAATCTCTTTTATAAGCTGCTTTCCCTACTCTCATTTGTATGTTGATATTTCCCAGGATTCTCTTCTGATTCTGTTCTTTTTATCTCATGGTTTAAACAGGAACCCACATTTAAAACAAACAAACAAACAAACAAACAAACCTCCCAGGTCCAAATTTCCAGCCCAGTTGCCTTGACTGGGCTCAAAACTCATGTATCCAACTGTCACTGGGATGTCGCACAGATGACTTTCTACATCCCATTCAAAATTCATTTTTGTATCTGTATCTCCTATATCAGTGAATGACATTATCATCCACTTATTTCCTATATCCCAAACCTGGGAACTTTTTTTACCCATGCCCCTGTGCACTTCTTTCTCCTGTCAACTGATACACTCTTATGCACAACCCTTTGGTTGTACTTCCTTAAAATTTTTCAGATGCCACAACCACAAACACCTCCTGACTAATTTTTTGCCTCCACTCTGACCTCACTCTAACGTTCTTTTCCTGTGTTCTTTCATGTCTTTATGTCTTTGCACATGTCACTCACTCTATCTAAAGTCCCTTCTAACCAATTCCTTACCTAATTCCTATTTTTTAAAACTTCAACCAAGAAATTTCTACTTTTTTTTTTCTCATTTTCCATTACTTTCCCATTTTCCTTTTATTTCATGTCTTTCGCTCTTTCTGGCATGGGAGCAAGAGGTTAAGGGGGAAGCTGCAGAGAAGCTTGGATTTGGGTGAGCACCCGAGAACTCCAGATGATGGGGGAGAGAAAGCCAGGTAGAGGCACACAGGTGGTGTCTGAGGAACCAGGGCACCTTGGAGAAATATCTGGAGCATGGATTATGAGATGATCCTGGAACATCGTGTTGGGTAAAGAAGTACTCAAAAAATTATGGGGACCTGCCAGAAAGACTCAGGAGCTACCCTGAAGGGATGCTTCTAGACAAATCTGGGACAATTTGAGCATAACTATGAATAATGACTGTAAGAGCCTAAAAGCTGTTAATAAAATAGTAATCCGTGAGTCTATACTTGTTTGAGTGAATGAATGAATGAATGAATGAATAAAATGAAGGAGAAGGGAAAGCTCATCCTTACAGTAGTACACTAACTAAATAATGTAGAAAGAATGATGGAACTAGGAAATCACCACTGGTAGCCGTCATAGTGGTAGTTGATTCCAGTGGGAGTTATCAATGGAGGTTAAGACAGGTGGATCAGGTTTGAAGAGAAGCAAGTCATGGAGGGTAATCTTGGAGTCTATTCCCACAGATACTAATCAATTACTAATCAAAGGGAAAATACTGACCTTATAATAGAGAAAACTGGCAGATACCAACATGACCAGAAGATCAAGGTTAACATCCCAGGTGCTGAGAGAGTTAACATTAGGCACTCTTGATATAATGAATTATGAAAATCAAGTACTAATCTGGGGCATCACTGCCAAAACAAACAAACAAAAAAAAGTGTGACCTGAATTTGGTCCTGAGGAAACATAAAACAGACCCAGATTGAAGGTCATCCTTAGAATGTATGTCCTGTACTCTTTAAAAACTGTCAGGAACATGAAGGAAGAGAGAAGGAGTAAGGAACCGTTCAAAATGAAGTAGACTGGAGAGACATGGCAGCAAAATGCAACGGAATGGAATTCCAGACCAGAAAGGAAAAAGAGACACGTGGAGTCAATTGGCAGCACTGAAAGGCGGCATGTGGATTGGACAGTGGTTGGGGATCAATATTGCTTTCCTGCTTTGGATGGCTGCATGGTGATTAGGCAGGAGAGTGTCCTCATTTGGAGGGAATGACCACTGGAATAGTCAGGAGTGAAATACTATTGGAAACTTGCTCTCACAAGTTTCAGACTAGTTATAATATGTGTGTGTCTGGGTGTGTGTGAGATAGAGAGAGAGAAACAGGTTAACAGTTGGAGAATCTGGGCAAAGGAGATATGTGTGACAGTGGTTTTTTTGCACCACACAACTTTTCTGTCAGTTCAAAATTGTTTCAAAATAAGGAAAAGACATATCTGTTTTAATAACTCAACTAGGATATCAACTCTTCTTAGGAAACATCCTGCCCTCTCTGCCAACAGGCTCCCTCACAAACTGATACTCATCTAACTACTTATCACATTGTGTTTAATGTATTTACTACATTGGAAGTGCCTGGAACAGTGTCAAGCACATAGTAAATGCTTAATAAATGTAAGCTATCAGCGAAATTCCACATGTTCTCACTCATTGGTGGGAGCTAAAAAAAACAAACAAACAAACAAACAAACTAATTCACCCACATACACACACACACACACACAAAAAAAAAAACGGGGGTGGGGGGTGGGGAAGAAGATATAACAACTATACTTCCATGAAGTTGTTACAACAAGCAAACGGAAAGGACATTCTTGGGGGGGAGGGGAGAGAGGGAGGAGGGAGGGAGGTGTCGGTGATGGGCCATAATAATCATATACAGTGTATATTGACAAAATAAAATAAATAAATAAATAAAATTAAAAAAAAATAATAAATAAATTACTAATTTAAATCAGCATAAAAAAATAAATAAATAAAAATAAATGTAAGCTATCATTATTATTTTATTGAGCTCTGATAATTAAAAAAAAAATAAATAAATTACTAATTTAAATCAGCATAAAAAAAATAAATAAATAAAAATAAATGTAAGCTATCATTATTATTTTATTGAGCTCTGATAAAAAACTGAATAGTGTTTGGACTAGTGAAGTATTTCTCAGTGCTCTCTAGAACCTTCTAGGGTGCCCTTACAGATTTCCGGGAGCCTGGGGAGACTGAGGTGGCAGGCATTTTCTGAGAGTGTAGGGGAAATAATTAGAAGTAATTGTAAGGCCAAAGCGTGTGCATAGTGCACCATATGGAAAACAATACTTGGTGAGGAAACTAGACTGAGGAAACCAGTGACACCAGCCCTGGGATCTGAGGCCCCTGCTGGAGGAAAGGACTCTGGGTTCTTCTCATTGAGTCAAGGGGAGCTTGCTTTCTGGATGTGCTTCACCTACTGCTTTGTTAAATGATGGGCTAAAGAGGTTGTTGCGTGGATAATGATTTTATGTGAAAAACATCTGTTCTTTGTTTTCCATGCAGATTGAGCCTTTTTTTGTGAGTGTAGCACTTTATGACCTCAGAGACAGTAGGAAGATATCTGCCGATTTTCACGTGGATCTGAACCACACTGCCGTCAGACAGATGCTCTCGGGAGCACCCATGGCTTTGGAAAATGGCAACATGGACACTGTCACTCCAAGACAATCAGAAGAACCTCATGTCAAGGGGTTTCCAGAGGAATGGCTAAAATTTCCAAAGCAGGTTGCACTTTTGTTTACTCATGATAGAACGGAAAATGCTTGTTTCATTGTTCTTTTCAGTAGACCATGTAAGACGGGCAATTCTTCAAATAAAAATTCCTTTACAGCTGTCTTTTTTTGGAAAAAGTGGCATTTTCTAAGTGTCTTCAATGTGTTTTTTTAGATGCTTATTAGCTGCTTTCTTTGTACATAGGCTGTATTTTCTGTAAGCAATCCACATTCTGAAATTGTTCTGGTGGCCAAAATCGAGAAAGTCCTGATGGGAAACATTGCAAGTGGCGCCGAACCTTATATTAAGAATCCAGACTCTAACAAGGTAATGCATAACTTTACTTATAAATAATTTCAGTTGCTTTCAACAAATAAAGTCACACTGCCTTGCTAAATTATCAAGTTCAATAAATGTATGTCTTGAAATATTTATTTATTAGTGAAATGAATATCTACTAAGAAATTTTTAAAATATGCATCTTTGGTTTATGTTTTTTTGACCCAGCAATTTTTCACTTCTGAGAATATATTGGTAGAAATAAATTTAAATATAGATAAAGCTTTTAACACCAAGGATGAAAGTATTAATAATAAGGAAAAGTTAGGAACAATCTGCATAAAGACAAGTGAATACAGTTTACTAAGACATCAGCCATGCTGATGATGAACTAGGTGAAAAAGTAAGATAGACAAATTGTGCATCAAATTATAACAGCACCTGAGTGAAGAAAGAGAGAGGAAAGGAAAGACTGGACGTGCTTTAAATGGTGGGACTATAGGTAATGCTCTACTTTCTTCTTTTCTGTTTTCTTTAATAATTCTTTTTAATAATCAAATGTGACTCTTAAATAGAAGATAAATATAAATGTTTATATTTTCATGCAAAAGAAATATATTGAGGAAATAATTCATAAGAATTGAATTTGAGCATGTGCCATGATATAGGGCAGAGTTTAACATATTTATGAGTCCCTTAATTCAGGGTTTGGCAAACTATGGTGTGCAAGCCAAACCCACCCTACCAGCTGATTTTGTAAATAAAGTTTCATTTAAACAGTAACACTCATTCATTTCTGGATTGCCTATGGCTGCTTTCCTGATACAGCAACAGAGTTGAAAAGTAGTGACAGAAACCATACAATCTGTGAAGATAAGTATATTTACCATGTGACCCTTTACAGATCAAGTTGGCTGAACTCTACCGTAATGATGAAAAGGAGATACAGTGTAGACTGTTTTGATATTCCAAGACAAGGATATTTTCTATTTTGTACATTTGGAATTTCCAAACTAAAAAGAAAGAAAAATGTTTTATGATAGATTGAACACAGAGGATATCATTTGGTTCTTTATAAAGTAGAATCTGAATAAAATTCAGAATAACTTCTGTGAATTTCAGTGAGTTTTAACACAAGATAATATTAAAAGTATTAGCATTATTTTATATGTACAGTTTGTAAAGTGCCATTCTAACCAATATTTTTATTTTTAATTTTTTAGTACGTACAAAAGATACTGAAATCCAACAGGCAGTTCTGCAGTAAATTGGGGAAATACCGCATGCCATTTGCCTGGGCAGTAAGGTAGGTTGACAATTACAATCAACAAATAAAAATACATTTAAAGTCTACACTGAAAGCTTTAGTTTTGAACAATTTTGTGTTACCTGTTATTTTTAATGTGTGTGCACCCAGAAGAATGCTCATGTAGTTCTCTTTATAAACATCTACAACTCCCCAGACATTCATTTCAGAAGACAAGTTTAGCAAAACAGCTTATAATAGAGGGTCGTGACATGAGTACAGTGTGCATGACCAGGTACACTGTGAGGTCTTGGTAGGTATCAAATCAAAGTTATAACTTGTTTATTTTGTATACTTGCTTTAACGAACTCTTGACATTATGTCAGTCCTGAGAGTCTGGTATGCATACAATTCAGATGGACACAGCTGCATGTTTTCATCTCTGCATAGAGCGCAGGTCTATATATGGACATCCAAATGAAACCAGCAAATTGATCATTTAAACTCTCCTTGATTTTGATACTGATTAGCATAGCCAAATTTATCAGTACCAGTTGACTCTGATAAAAATACTGAGTGCTGTGAACACTGACAGTGGAATCGTCCACCTGGACATATAAGTTCTGCATAAAGAATAAAACTTGCTTTTCAGATCTGCTTAAACATATATTATTATTTTCCTCCTCAATCTCTTTACACCCCTATTAATATAAGAATGTCTTAAAGGAAGAAGAACTTGGCATAGACTCATAGGAAAAAAGGTCAGCAACATACAAACTGAATGAACTAAAAAAGGTTAATTATAACTACATAATAAGATAACCCATTAAGTATTCATTTGAATGTTGATAGCATTGTCCCAAAAGCAGTAACTTTAAAATCCAGAAGGGAGAACCTGTTAGTTATGCCATTTTCAGGACTCACATTTCCCCGTGGTAAGTATATCCAGAGTAAAAGCACTGGTATTTGATATAATTTTGAGGTTATTATCTTAAGCTAGGGACAGGTAGCTGCAGGAAGGAGAAATGTGGAAGTTTGGGCAGCAGTAAACCAAGATAGACTCATGCAGTTTTCAGGAATTAGTTTGCCCTAAGGCAGCCCTATAGCAAGAAAGAAAGAGAACAGACCCAGGAGTCCAACGAACATGGTCCACATCAGAACACCTCTTATTGTAACTTTGAACAAGTTTCATCTCCTAGTCTCAGGGTCCCCATCTCTAACATGGAGCTGACGGTACCAGCCCTGTGGAAAGATGTGCAACTTCAGATGCAAAAGCACTTAGTGTAAAGTAGATCATAAATATTACTTTCCTATCTCTACCTACGGGAACAACAAATTCCAGGATGTTCTCTGCATGAAAAAGATATTATTTAGATATACTAAACCCTTTTTGGATGAATTTAATGGTTTTTATTTCTCATAAGCTTCATGAGAAAAGATAACTAGTTATAATTCTCTAATCAAACATTTTTGTATTGTTCGCTCTTAGCTGCCACCAGAAAACCAGTTGAGGCAAACAGATGCATACCATCCCTTGGCAAAAGTGAAATATTCCAATATATTGAAGTGCAATGGTACACACATTTTCTGTTTTAAAATTCCAGCATTGTTCTGAGATTTTATAAGCAGGCATTTTAGAGCCACACAGAGCTGGGTTTGAAATCCTAACTCTGTCCTTTACTAGCCAAGGGAACTTAGGCAAGTTGTTTAAAGTCTGTCTTTACCTCTGTTTTTTAAAAAATCTTCAAAACAGGAATAATAATATCTAATCTATTGTTGCAGGAATTAATGAGCACATATGTGTACCCAATAAAAGATTCATATTATTAGAAGTCATGTTTCTAATATTATTATCACTAAAAGTCACCTGTGGAGATCATATTCACCTCCACAAGTCCTTTTTTCTGGTAAATTTGGGGCAGCGAAGAGTATCATGATGAAAAGAAGTAACAGAATTACTCATTATTGAAAGAAACTGAGAAGTTAAGAGAAAAGTTAACAGTTTTACTTTTATATTGTCTAGTAAAATATGCTGGAAGAAAACTAGTTGAAGTTTCTAGGGAGGCTGACATTATTACTGACCGTTGAAGTAATTATTTCTAGGAAAGCCAACAAAACCACAAGCTCATGCTATATTAATGCCAAATCAGTGGTGTGGTTGTAGGTTAGGAAACTGTATATACCACCAATTTGTGTATATAAATATATAATTTACATTTACATGAATTTCTCTGGCAACTGAGAAAAGTGGTTAGCAGTACAGTTTGAAAGATTTCATGTTAAACCTCTTGGATTATCTAACTGCAAAAAGTACACGATCCAGCCAAAGACCATTTAATTTCCCCTTCACGATGCTCAAACTGCTTGAAATAAATGTAGATATCATGAGAGGAAGGCTGGTTGTTCCCCAGGTCATTTGACATAAGCTTCCTGACATCCTTCAGTACTTGACTGATACTGCTGATTCTGCGGCTACTTTTCCTTCTGTTATATTTTCCAGATTGTAGTTGTTTCATGGTGTACCTTTGAGTGTTCCCTAAAACATTTTGGCCCTTAAAAATCAACTGTCATTCAAAGAGTAGAACTGAAAACTTAGCTTATTATGACCATAATTTTAGCCAAATCTAATCATCCCACCCACTGCAATACACACGGATGCTCCTCACTGAGAACAACATTATATTTGAAATTAATTTGGTGGTGTCATATTTGGTACCAGCTCTAGTCCCATTTTATAGTGAAAAGGTTATCCTTGGGGTAGTCTAGAGAACACATGCAGATGGCTACTTAGGATATTTTGCAATCATTGATTTGAAAGAAAGTTGACCCTTACAAATGTGTCATGCTGTAAATGGAACTCTTTTCATGCATAGCACCCCCAGAATCGCATGTACCTAAATCCATGCCAAGATTCTTTCATGTTTTCTTTTACTCTGTCTCATTTGATATTCTAAATGGACCAGCACACAACACTAAATTTTCTTTAAAATTAAACAAGACTAAAATAAGAATGTCATTCTCGTAGCTATGCATTTGTAGAAGGCACACAGCGCAACTGTATCTAAGGCTCCCATCTTGATAACAGCATCCCCAACAAATGGTTGTCCAGCCTCTGTTTGGATCCTTCTGGGGACAAACACCTGCATGCATCCCACAGTGATTTCTTCAGTCTGTCTTGTTATAGCTCTAAAGAGTAAATAATTTACTTTTTAAAAATAATCTTAAACTACCTAACAACCATATTTTTGTTTTATCTTCCATAGCCACAACAACAAAAAAAAATATCAGGAACACCTTAAGCTTTTCCTGTAAGCTAAACACACATGCCCTTTGATCAGACCCCAAATGTCATGGTTCTGAGACCCTCACAACATACTGATCATTGTTGAACTGTGGCAGTTGGAACGAGGCACAATGTTCCAGCCATCCCGAAACCATCTGTGCAAATGAGTCAGCTCTTGTTTCTCTTGTCAGTCAGTGTATTGAGCAAGAACAGGTTGTGTGGCGCTGTGAGCACATCTTCTCCCATGGTGTTGAGCTCTTCATTCGCTTTCTAACGAATATCCAGTATAAGTAAACGATTTCCAAAATGAGTCACATAGCTTGCATCTATCAATATGTTTGAAGTCACTGATTAACTAAAAACTGTCACTCGAGCCCAGTTTAATTTCCTCTCATGTTGGGAAATATGTCACACTGGCTTTAACATGTCACAAACTCAACAGCCCTGTACAATATTTAAATAAAAATAGTTTTCAAGTTAAATATCTTTATTCTGTTTCCCCAGTGTTATTTTATAGAAGGATTTCTTATTTTCTCTCAGTCATTACTTAACAGAGAAAAATGAGGAGATGGATTGAAGGCGTTTAAAAATACCATTCTGATAAACTTCTGGCCCATTTTCTATATCATTTTACACAAAAGCTCTATGACCTGGTATCCATTTAAATGGTCACTTCAGCTGGTGTATTGAATTCTTTAGTTAGAAAATGATAAAATATTCTAGTTAAGGCCCTTTATTACAAGACATAGTGTAGAGCTAGGGCTGGGTCTGGAGCTCACAGACCCCTCAATCCCGTTGTCCAGACTGGGTCACAAACCCTTCACACACAGGTCTGCGAGCTAGGTAATCAGAAAAAAAGGTCCTTGGATCCTTGGTTGAAGAAAGAATAGTCTTTATTCAGCACACACACTGCAGAAGAGCTAGGCAGTCTAAAGAGAAACTCAGAAACCAAACTGCTACCAACAAAGTTCAAAGAAAAACTGAGGAGCTGCCAGCAACGTAAACATGCTCTATTTTTAGACACGAGCTCTCTGCCAGCCAGCACTGCTTTCCAAAACTCAAGAACACACACTAGCAACAAACTAGAAAGATACATGGATGTGCATGTACACTAACTCCACCCACACACACAACTTGTTTACAAGGAATGTGCTGCACCACCCCCAACCAGACCTGAGGCAAGGGGACTAGAAAGATACATGGATGTGCATGTACACTAACTCCACCCACACACAACTTGTTTACAAGGAATGTGCTGCACCACCCCCAACCAGACCTGAGGCAAGGGGGCCTCACCAAACTATTCTATTTTCTCACACATAGAAATTCAGCATTTTTCTATCATTGAAGAAAAAGCAATTATGTTTGGGTCTAATTTTTCTTTGACTATCACATTATATGATGAAGTATGAGGAAGAAAAAGCTAGTATTTAAGCATGCTATGGATATGAAGCAAGTATTGCCTGGTATTACTGTATTATTTACACACACACACACAATGCATGATTTTAATTAAGTCTATATAGTTCCAATGAAGTGGATCAAAGAAAGAAATGAATGGCTCAGATTCAAAGTGTTTCCCTTATTTAATACACAAATCTGACTCAGGTGTCTTCCATTTTATCTTTGTCTTCATCCTAAAAGTTTGGACATGGGCACATTTATCTCCACGAAAATATTCAAGAGTCTGTCCCTCTACACTCACATACACAGCCTTATCCCTGTCCCACTACTCGTAAATCCTAATGGTGCCACCCAAATGGAAGTGACCCTGTCTTACCCAGGTTTAGGGTATCCTGAAGAAATAACTAAAAAGAATGACATGTATTGCTATTACTCTCCACTCCCCTAATACCCAAACGTTTTGATATAAGTTATTAAATGTGACACATCATAAAAAAAGTGTTGTAATATGGACTGCTGTCACTTTAAATACAAAATTAAAAATAAGAAATTAAAAATAACAAAAATATAGCATGTAATAAAATTTTTGTCTAAAGTGTTTTTGTCTTTTTATTTTGTAAGTTCCTAGAGTTTCTTCTGTTATAAATGGGAAATTTAATTAATTTAATCACCTTAAAATTAACTCTATAAACAGTATTCAAATGCCAACCTGAATAAATATTATTTTCTTTCAGATCAGTATTTAAGGACAACCAGGGAAATGTGGATAGAGACTCAAGATTTTCACCATTGTATAGACAAGAAAGTAGCAAGATTTCAACTGATGACCTAATTAAACTAGTGTCAGATTACAGAAGGTACGATTTTTTGGGATATTCTTGAAATTAACATAAATAAGGTACATCAGTTTGTTATCTCTCCATAAACAATACCCAATAACCTGATTCTCAAATGTCCAAACTCCTCCAGAAAGCAGATGCTTTTCAGGTCTGTTCACATAAGCCCAAATGATGCCACAAAAGTACATTTGTCAGAATTATATGGTAGGATCATGAAACATTAAACTGTGTCAGTCGTCTATTGCTGAGTAACAAACCACCCCAAAACTTAGTGGCTTAAAATAACAGCAGTATTGATTTTACTCCTGAAAACAATTTGAGCACAGCTGGGTGAGGAGTTTGTCCCTTCCACACATGACCTTGGCAGGGGGAGGTCACTTTCAATTTGGTTCATTTAATTACTGGCCAGTTGGTGTTGGCTGTTGGCTGGGATCATAGCTGGGTCTGTGAGCAAAAGATCTTGAATTTTCTTCATGGGAGCCTCTCCATGAAATACTGTGACTTCCTCATGGCATGGCAGCTGGGTTCTAAGAGTAAGTGTCCCAAGGAACAGAAAATGACCCCTGCCAGTTTCTTAAGGCCAGGGCCCACAAACTGTCACAGTGCCATTTTTGCCATACTCTACTGTCAAGTTGTCACAGAGCCTGAATACAGAGCCCAGAGTCAAAGGAGGGGGACATAGACACCTCTCAATAGGAGGAGTGTTAAAGAATTGTAGAACCATGTTATAAAAACTCCACAGAAAAATTATATTGCTGTGAATACAATCAATCGCAATATTTATGTCATTCAAATACTTTTAGAAAAGATAGCAGAAATCAGTGCTAAGAGAAGAAAAATATAAAAGCCACAGTTTTTAAATGAATCACCATGCTTCCAACATCTGATGATGATGTCTTTCATTAGAAGTTACTTATCTTAAACTGTTAGTCCCCTAACACACACAGTATTCTTGTACCCTTTCCTAAATATGAACTCTCTGTCTTTCCCATCTAAGAATCAGCAAGCTCCTATCAATTAATTTTGTTTACCCAAAACAAAAATAAAATATTATGAAACAAGCATGATTAATATTTTTTATAGCATCAGTAGATGATATATGTCTATTTAACCAGAAGGGAAGTTTTCCCGATATTCTTTTTTTGGTCTGGAAAAAATACATAAACATTAGAAAGCAAAATAAAAGCAAAAAGTAAAATCTTGGAGGAAGCTCTAAATCAATCTGACTTCTTTGTGATCCTGTAACACTCCTTATATAGGGGCACCTTCCTCCTGTTACTGTCATCAAACATCCTGGCCAAAACTCATACCATAGGCTTCGCAAGGCCACCCCAGCCATTAAATGAAAATCCTCTTTAGCTTTTAGCCAGTGCACGGAAGTATAAGAAGTTGTAATGCTGTGCGGAAGGGAATAGGCAAAAGGTTTTGGGGTGATCTGATATAAACAGGAGAAAACCAAATTACAAAACCCATATTATCAGTGAATAGCAGAGAAAGTTATCACCATGGCTGTTAGGGAGCACCTAGAATACACAAAGCAATACTAACATGAAGTTATTTCACGGAAACCTCACACCTTATGATATTTATTCTCAGTTGCGTGCTGATAAATGTTTAGGAACTGACTCTCCAGGGAAAAAGCTCATTTGTATTCATGGCCAATTAATTTCTGTGGTGTAAGTTCTCCTCCCATTGCTGATTCCAAGCTGCCAAGGGGGCTTCATTGAACTGGGAGGGTGGGAAGAGACGTGCACACCATTATATATCATTTCCACCATACAGTTAGATGTAAATAACCTCACGAGCACTGATAATCTTACAGTTTAATAAAAGAATTAGGAAGTGGTGAATTTTGAGTGCTTAACTCCCTTTGTGTTTAATATAATTTGTTTAATGGTAAATTTATATAGTTTAAGTTTTAGTAATGGCTGTGTTTAACAACTGTCGGGCAAAATTCCTGAAAATTTGACAATCAGCTCTTACAAGGTGGGAAGAACTGGCTCTGATCCACCACTATAATTATTCCACCTTTCAAAGTAGATTCCCTGAGAGGGATGACACTTGAAACTGTTATCAGCAACTACACAATTCTATGAAAAGGAAGATTGGCGAGAAGGTTTTAGTAGAGAGAGAGGGAAGGAAACGTAGGGACTCAGAGGCAGGGAGGGAACGTGGATGCAAGATCAGTGCGGAAGGAGTGTCCGTATGCACTGACAAGCGTGGGAGAAGGCAGAAGAAACAGGACAGGGAAAGGCTCCCTGTCCCCCTTGTTTGTTGGTAAAGAGGAAAAGCACAGGTTGTCCATTTAGCAATTATAGCAAAGACTAACTTAGCTCTCCAACTTCTTAAAAGTCATGTGAATCACTTCAACCAGTTCAAGTACTATTACCTTTTGTTAATGGAAACTATATAATTTGCTTTTTTAATCATTTATATGTGTGAACTGAAGTAGGAGAAAATAAATTTAAAATATTCTTCAGAATATCTGTAACTTGACCTCTCCCTGATTTTTATTTTTATTTGCGAAATCACGTAAATTTTAGTTTACAAAATTAAGCTAACTAAATGAAGTCATTCACAAGATTATTTGGGGTCTACTGTTTACCCTTATCAGAGAGAATTATAGTTGACTGCTTTTTCCTTGAAAATTAGAATAATGCTCTGCGTGTGTGTGTGTGTGTGTGTGTGTGTGTGTGTGTGTGTGTGTGTGTGTGTTTCTATGCTGGCATACTTTCACAGGGCTGACAGGATAAGCAAAACGCAGACCATCCCTGGAAGCCTGGATATTGCTGTTGACAACGTTCCTTTGGAGCATCCAAGTATGATGACAATGTCATGGTTTGGTTTTAGAGTTTTTAATATTTAGTGGGTTTTTGGTTTTGTTTGTTTCTAAAGGTTGATATAAATGGAATTCATTAAGCTATAGAAATTTAGGTGATATTTCTGAATTAAGAGAGAATATGACTATTGCAGAACAAGAAATACATTCAGGATAACCGACAGCGTTCCTTTGGAGCATCCAAGTATGATGACAATGTCATGGTTTGGTTTTAGAGTTTTTAATATTTAGTGGTTTTTTGGTTTTGTTTGTTTCTAAAGGTTGATATAAATGGAATTCATTAAGCTATAGAAATTTAGATGATATTTCTGAATTAAGAGAGAATATGACTATTGCAGAACAAGAAATACATTCAGGATAACCTTACATTTATCTGGTATGCACCATGCACCCAGCAAGAAACTAAATTATATTGTTTAATTTGCAAATTAAATAATATAATTTATTATATTATGTCATAGTACATTATAATATAATTATAATATGATAATTTTATTATGTTAATATGATAATTGTATTGTATTATCATATTACAATTACATTGTATTCTATATAGAGGGGGTTG